CTTCCGCTGCCTAGGGCAGCAGAAAAATTGGCCGCGCTCCTGGGGATAGGGTCCAGAGTGACCTAGAGAAATTAGAGGATTGGACCAAAAGAAATCTGATGAGGTTCAACAAGGACAAGTGCAGAGTCCTGCACTTAGGGTGGAAGAATCCCATTCACTGTTACAGTCTGGGGACCGAGTGGCTACGCAGCAGTTCTGCAGAAAAGGACCTGGGGGTCACAGTGGATGAGAAGCTGGATATGATTCAGCAATTGCCAAGAAGGCTAATGGCATATTAGGCTGCATTAGTAGGAGCGTTGCCAGCAGATCAAGGGAAGTGATTATTCCTCTCTATTCAGCACTGGTGAGGCCACATCTGGAGTACTGTGTCCAGTTTGGGGCCCCACACTACAAGAAGGATGTGGAAAAATTGGAGAGTCCAACGGAGGGCAACAAAAATGATTAGGGGGGTGGGGCACATGATTTACGAGGAGAGGCTGAGGGAACTGGGCTTATTTAATCTGCAGAAGAGAAAACTGAGGGAGGGATTTGATAGCTGCTTTCAACTACCTGAAGGGGGGTTCCAAAGAGGATGGAGCTCGGCTGTTCTCTGTGGTGGCAGATGACAGAACAAGGAGTAATGGTCTCAAGTTGCAGTGGGGGGAGGTCTAGGTTGGATATTAGGAAAAACTTTTTCGCTAGGAGGGTGGTGAAGCACTGGAATGGGTTCCCTAGGGTGGTGGTGAACACTCCATCCTTAGAGGTTTTTAAGGTCAGGCTTGACAAAGCCCTGGCTGGGATGATTTAGTGGGGGATTGGTCCTGCTTTGAGCAGGGGGTTGGGCTAGATACCTCCTGAGGTCTCTTCCAACCCTAATCTGATTCTATGATTCTATGATTAGGAAAGGGATAGATAAGAAGACAGAAAATATCATATTTTCTCTATATAAATCCATGGTACGCCCACATCTTGAATACTGCATGCAGGTGTGCTCTCCCCATCTCAAAAAAGATATTTGGAATTGGAAAAGGTTCAGAGAAGGGCAAAAAAAAATGATTAGGGGTATGGAACAGCTGCCATATGAGGAGAGATTAATAAGACTGGGACTTTTCAGCTTGGAAAAGAGACGACTAAGGGGGGATATGATGGAGGTCTATAAAATCATGACTGGTGTGGTGAAAGTAAATAAGGAAGTGTTATTTACTCCCTCTCATAACAGAAGATCTAGGGGTCACCAAATTAAATTAATAGGCAACAGATTTCGAACAAACAAAAGGGAGTATTTTTTCACACAGTGCACTGTCAACCTGTGGAACTCTTTGCCAGAGGATGTTGTGAAGGCCAAGACTATAACTGGGTTCAAAAAAGAACTAGATAAGTTCCTGGAGGATAAGTCCATCAATGGCTATTAGCCAAGATGGGCAGGGATGGTGTCCCTAGCCTCTGTTTGCCAGAAGCTGGGAATGGGCGACGGGGGATGGATCACTTGAGGATTCCCTGTTCTGTTCACTCCCTCTGGGGCACCTGCCATTGGCCACTGTCGGTAGACAGGACACTGGGCTGGATGGACCTTTGGTCTGACCCAGTCTGGCCGTTCTTATGTTGTTCAGGAGCGGGCAGCAGGGTGGGGGTTCGTAGGGGGCAGGTGGAGGGAGTAGGTGGGGAGGAAGGGGTGGGGCAGGAGGGGATTTGGAGGGGGCAGCAGGGTGGGGGTTCGTAGGGGGCAGGTGGAGGGAGTAGGTGGGGAGGAAGGGGTGGGGCAGGAGGGGATCTGGAGGGGGTAGCAGGGTGGGGGTTGATATGGGGCAGGTGGAGGGAGTAGGTGGGAGGAAGGGGTGGGGCAGGAGGGGATCTGGAGAGGGCAGGAGGAGGGGGGTGGTAGAGGTTGGGAGAAGGTGGAGGGAGCAGGAGGGTGCTGGTGGGGTTTGGAGGAGGGCATCCAGCCTTCCTGGGCAGAGGGCGCTGGCCACAGGGGTCTCAAGCTGCCAAGACGAGACCCCCCTGCTGGGAATGTGCCCCTGGTCGCTGGTACCCGAGCACCTCCTCTCTTCCTGAGCCTCCCCTGCTGCCCAGGGTACCCATCACCCACTGACTAACCCAGGGGCCAGCTGTGATGGTGCCCCCCATTAGAGCCTCTGCCCCCCGCCCTGTGCTGTGGGGGCGGCTCTCGCCAGCGCATGGCTAGGACAAACGTAGCCCTGCAGATCTCGGGTTTCACTTGGGGGGCGGGGGTTGACACCCACTTTACCAGGTGCCTGGCAGGGGGTGCTGGGCTCAGGACCTAGCAGCCAGGGAATGGCTTATTCTAGCTCGGTGGAGGCCTCGGGGTCCCACCAGCAGAGCCTCTGGTCCGAAGGGTCTGTCGCTGTCCTGCTGCGTGACCCCAGGGATTGAATTCCCAGGCGGTGGGTGGCAGAGCGCAGTGGGGTGTCTGGGCTGCCCGCGCTGTAGGAACACCTGCTGTGTCACAGCGTTCCCTGGGGAATAGCTCTGCTCCCTTGATGGCCTGGGTGGTCTCGCAAGGCTACTGGGATGGTTAAAACAGAGCTGAGAGACCTGCTCTGCCACTGAGTCCTGGCGTGACCATGGGTTAGTCACCTAACCTCTCCATTCCCAGTCTTCTGTGTGTTGTACCCTGTCTCCCACCCTCTGGTTAGCCGGTGGGACTGTCTCTCGCTGTGTGGGTGCAGTGCCTGGCACTGGGGGGGGGGTCACAGCTGGGGCTGGCGTGCACTCCAGTGAAATACACCATGCCGAGCTGTATTCTCAAGGGATCTGCAGATTGCACCGATATTATCTGGTGACTTGTTTCAGAGGAGCAGCCGTGTTAGTCTGTATCCGCAAAAAGAACAGGAGGACTTGGGGCACCTTAAAATGTGTTAGTCGCTAAGGTGTCCCAAGTCCTCCTGTTCTTTTTATCTGGTGACTTGTTATTCCTGCTTGCAGGAGGCAAGGTGTCAGGCACAGGGAACCTGTTCTCCCCGGCTTGCGTAAGCTCCTGGGGCCCTGAATGCGCTGACTGCACTTCTGAGGAACGGGTGGTTGAAGAGGCGACTTGCTGACAAAGCCTCTCTCGGGCAGGGGAAGTCGCTTCCCTCGCCTCTTGTTAAGCCCCGAGCAGCGCTCACCTCCTGGGGGAGTCCAGCGGGGGTGACTGGGAAAGGACGCAGGATCCTTGAGGAACCCACAGAGGTGAGGAGCCGGGACCAGGGGAGGACAGAGCTGGCTAGTGCCGCCCTGGAGATATTTGTCTTGTCAATACTTAGGGTGGGAGCACACCCTGACCCTGCTTGTTCCCCGGATGCCGCAGGCCCTGAGCCGTGGCTGGATGGGAGAGAGGAGCAGGGAGCCCTGTTGGAGTGTTTACAGCACGTGGGACTTTCCAGGCCCCTCCACTCAGCCTAGGTCCCCTCTGGTACGGCTGCTGCCCAAGGACCCTGCCAGCGTCTTGCTGCAAGACTCTGCCACTCCTACTCAACAGCCCAACCTCCCTCCCTCCAGGGCAGAGGGCAGTGTCCAGGCGCCACAGCGTGCGTCTCCTCCCGGGCAGCGTTCCCAGTGCACCCAGGCCTCCTCCCTGCACGAATCAGACAGCTGTACACTGAGCTGTGGGCCAACCACTCCCTGCAAGGGCTGATCATTAACTCCTCATATCGGGCAGCTCAGTTCAAGGGCTTGTGGGCAGACCTTTGTCCCCGCCTCTGGCACTGTGCCCCGGAACCTGAGTGACCCGAGGGGACCCATCGAGGCCCTTCCGAGCTGCGCAGGCAGGAGCCTGATGCGCAGTAGATGCCAGGCGTTACTTGGGTTTTTGCAGGCAGCTGGGCGCCAACTGGCTAAGCAGACGGGCTGCCCCGGTTTCTTCCTGGGCTCACTGATTTCACACAGCTCGCCTGGGCCTCACGGCAGAGGGGATCCGCTTTCCTGACACTGACTGCGGACCGCGAAATCAGCCTCCAAAATCATCTCCAAGGAGGGGGAAAGGCAGGAACGCTCAGGGCCAGAATCTGCAGCAAACCCACAACTGGCCCTTGTATGGCTCACCCTTTGCCACCTGAGAGGCGCTTGGATACCCTAGAGTCTATAAAACCCGACTTAGATAGTGCTGATGGGCCCCCCACTGGCACGGTGCATAACCCGGACTGCAGGTTATCTTCTCTTGGGCCGACTCCGGGTGGGAACAGAGACTCGCTTTCCAGCCACACAGAGCCCTTCCTCAGGGCTGGGAAAGGCTCTCCCAGTGTCACAGATAAACGCAGGTGGAACAGAGCGTTTAGCGCCCGTCGTTAGCACATGTTGTAAGGGCCCATTCCAGGTGAAGGGGCCCGTTAACCCCCCTGCAGTCATAGGACATAGTGGGTTACAGAGCGTTGTAATGTTGAGACCGAGAGTGCAGGGACAATTCACCCAGCAGCCTGGACTCACCCCCGGTGGAGTTTAGCCAGGGCACAAGGTGAGGCAAAATGGGCTGCATGTGTGACCGTGTCCTGACTTCATGGGCTTTGGAATAAGCCCCCCCACAACAGGCTCCCAAATGTAGGTCCCCAGGCCATGAGTACTAACTCCAGGCCAGGGCAGAGGGTGGTTTCCGCAGCAGCGTGGGCTGGGAGCTAGAGATTCAGAGGCCACATGGTCGCGTCCAGCAGCCTCAATAAGGCGTCACCTTTCTATCTGTAACCCTTCGGCCAGGGGCCAGCAGCCAGGCTCAGTCTGTCTAGGCCAGGGGGTCAAACTCTGGCTTGAAACTCCCTCTCTCCTGTGTTGGACTCCTATGTCTGGCTCTGGGCAGGAGCAGTGGAAGCGCCCTAAAAGTGGGGGGGCCACAGGCGCCCGAACCGTGGCCTTGCCCCTGCATTGCCCCATCTCTTTGAGGCCCTGGCCCCACACTGCCCCTTCCCTCTGAGGCCCCGCCCCTTCCCCCGAGGCCCCGCCTTCACATCGCCCCCTTCTCCCTGAACCCCCGCCTTGCCCCTTCCCCCGAGATCCTGCCCCCCACACCGCCTCATCCCCCCAACCCTCACCCCTCGCTCGCTCCTCTCCGCCCCCTCCCCGTCACTCACCCTTACAGCAGGTAAAAAAAGGGGGCCAGGCATGGCCCCCTGGCCTGTCTTGTTCCGGTGCCCCTGCCTCTGGGACATTAAAATAACCCCTCCCTGGGCCCCTCCCACCAGCAGCCTTGGGCACACGAAACCACCAGCATCTTTTTATTGGGAGAAAAGGGAAAAGAATCACAAGAAACATGAAAACCCTGCATATATTTACATGCCAGAGGCTGGGAATGGGCGACAGGGGATGGATCACGTGATGATTCCCAGTTCTGTTCACGCCCTCTGGGGCACCCGGCACTGGGAGACAGGACACTGGGCTGGATGGACCTTTGGTCTGACCCAGTCTGGCCGTTCTTATGCTCTTATGTTCTTAGGTTACGTACCAGAAACACAGCTGCCCAAATCAGTGCATCCAGAGTCTGGGCAAACCTGCAGTCCCCCAAAGAATGATCCAATTGCTGGATAGTCCCCCTACAGCGCCCACCCCCCTGAAGCCCAGGAGTGGGCAAGGGGCATCGGGGGTGGGGGCTCTGCCAGTCAGCACCGCTCTCTCGGCTCCCATTCCAGTGAGCAGCAATCCAGTACGGTTCTGCGACGGCAGCTTCGCTTCTGCGGGTCCAGAGGTAAGAAGTCAGCTCCACCTAGACCCTGCTTCACAGTCAGCCCCTCACTGCCACCAGATCTGGGGCTGCAGATTGACGCCGCAGAGCGCAGGCTCTCCATGTCAGGAATACAGAGCAGTGCCCTTGGACCCGGCCCTGCTCCTTGGGTTAGCACTCCCACACACCTTCATGCCTCCACGCCCGAGAGCGAGGATTTCAACAGTAAACCAGTGCCCCTTGCTTGTTAGCTGAGGGAGACCCGCTCACGGCAGGGCAAACCCTGCTGAATTCCCTTGCCCATCCATGAGCACAGTGATGATAATCTGCTATTGTATATCCATCGGTATTACACCTGATAATCTGTATTATTGTAAACAGAAACGCATTCCAAACAAAGCAACACAATTCAGCCGCTGGAATTATGGGTAATGTATGTAAATGAAACAGGCCAAAGCTGGCTTTCCCCCTTCTCCCCGTACAGGGAGCAGAGAGTTCCACCCCCTCACGTTCGCTGGCACAAGGATGTCCGTATTCATCGTCTCCTCTCTCAGGTGAAGTAGGACTGCAGGCAGCCTGTTGAAATGTGCTCACGCTGCCTGGCCTTGTGCCCTCATAGCCACACAACCTGTCAAGGCAGCCACGCCATTGCATGCAACGTGAATGCCACCGTCGGGTGTGCAGGCCGTGAGCTCAGAGAGCAGGGACTTGCCTGAGTCACCAACTGACGCTGATACCTGTGTTCTTGGGGTACCAGGGTTCAGTATCTAGCCTGTCTGACGCACGAAAGACACACACACACTACACACCCCAGTCTCTGCTTGAACCAAAACAGATCAGAGAAAAGACTTGCAGAGAGCAGTGAAGGGCATTGGGGGACACACCTAGACCCCTCCTGACAAGGGTGACAAGATTAAGATCATCTCCATTAGCTACAGAATGGAGAGCAGAGACAACTCCCCTAGCCTCATCTGCAGGAGAGATGGGACAGGGAGACATCTCCATTTGCATACAGAATGGAGAACGGAGAACCGCATTGAACTCTGGGACCAGAAAAAGCAGGGAAGCACTGCATCCTGGGGGATCTCTGCTCCAGATGTTAATGAACCTACGCCTGCCCGCACCCAGCTCAGCAATTATCAGATCAATCCTTGATTGATATCCAAATACTGAAGCAGCCTAGATGTGTTGTGAGCTCCCTGGAAGAAACCACCCCCCATAGCCACGAGTGATCAGCTCCTATTGTCTAGCCTAAAGAAAACCCTTGAGTCATCAGTTTACCTATAAACAAATCTAGTGTTCTCCCATGAGCCATTCTTGTTTCCCTACAAAAACCCCAACCCACGCTCAAATAAGTGTCTGATGCCTGGATCCAAACTCTGCATCAGTTCCATGGGGACTTCATCTTCTCCTGACTGATCGTGCTGGGGCCTCTGCCTGTCTCCAGCACTCAGGACCCTCCGCTACCACCATCACCAGGGAACCCCGACCAGTTCAAGCCTCATGGAAGTGGTGAGATCCCCCCCTTTCTCTCTCTCTTTTCTTTTCTACCTCAGGTATAACTTTCTAACCCTGACTTGTTTGATCAGGTCGAGTTTTCTATATATGGCTTTTGTAACCTTTAATAATGTAACTGTTACGTTGGTTTAGCTCTCCTTGTGTAGTTATCACTATTATTCAATAAAGAACTTGTATGGTTAGTTGGTTGCTTCTCTCTCTCTCTGAACTTTACTCTTTGGTGTTTTTAGCTTCCCCCATTTACTCTGCAGCAACGCGTCTTCTACCTAAGCTGAAGATCCCTGTGGCGCCCAAAAATCCGGTGGGGTTTGCTCATCCAGTGGGTTACTGCCAGACCCATTGGGACGTGACAGTGGGGATAGGGACGTGCTGAGCCTGGGACATAGAAGGGTGGCAGCTTGGAAGTGCTGCTCGACCCAGACGACTGAGTCCAGGGGCAGATAAGGGGTCAGCTTGGGAGTGCTGATTGACCCAATCCACCCAGACTTGCTGTGTGTGTGTGTGTGTGTGTGTTTTCATTT